AATTATTTGAACTTTGACTCTTCATGTCTTTGATAATGACTCAACATAATCTAAAGAAACATCAGATTCTTCTTACGGAGCCCGCGAGGGGACATGGGAGATTTTTTTTCTTTTGCGTTCCCTCGCAATACTTTTGCGTTACCTCGCAATATTGTTTTGCGTTCCCATGCAAAAGTTTGTTTTGTATATGAACTGAATTAAATCAGACTTTTATTTTGAAATATTAGGTTGCCAAAACAGAGTGTGTCGCCACAGTTCGTGAAAATGACATTGAAGTTGTGTGGCTGCACTGTGTTAAAATATCGGCATATGACATACTTCCATGCGTGGTTGTGTAATATATTCATTCTGAAGCTGAATTAAAGCAGTAGGCTAACTCGCTAATGGTGAACATGTGAATGTGTTAATAAACCAGCAGGCACAACAGTGAACAAATGACTTTTGTGAGGGAATGCAAAAGGTATTGCGAGGTAACATAATACTATTGCGTGGGAACGCAAAAGAATAAAAATCTCCCATGTCCCCTCATGGGCTCCGAGTTCTTTTCACATGCAGACATTCCCCTTTGACATCACTTCCTGTTACTTCACATGTGAATATTTCAACAACTGTTCATCTCAGTTACGGCAATTTTTTTGTATTATATTATTAATCTTATCTTTACGAAAATGAATTTGTATTTATCACAAAAAAATTGTCCCATGCACTTTAAAACATAAACAAAAATTGAATACATTGAATCACATGTTGTGACACTTACAACAAAGCTGATGCCAATTAAATCTCAGTCTTTCCAAAAGGGTAATTTTTCACAGCACCATGGTACAGAATGATTGACAGACRTYTTGTACCACCCMCTCAATWTGCTGCTCATTGGGGCTAATTCTGTTCAGCTGCAGGGTCAGCCAATGAGGGTGGACGTACAAAAACACGCCTCAAGTGTGAGTGTAAGTGGGTGTGGTTTGGTGTAGATAGTGAGCAAGATTAACACAAATGAGGTGGATTATTTAATTTCTCACCTGTTTTTCTTAACGTGTTTGGAGGAATAACTGAAAGTGAAGAGGCTGCAATCAAAAAATGACGAGTTGGATTTACCAAAACAATTTATGTCAACTGGTTCCACTTGATTAAATTGAGTAAATGTAACGCAACTTACCAAATGACATAACTTGGTTCAGTAAATCCAACACATCTGTTTTTTGAGTGTTTCTAGTGTGAACAACATGTACTGTACAGACATTCAAACACAAAATAAAAAAACATTTTTACTCTTTTTTTATTTGTTTTGTTGGCATCTACGATTACGTATTYTCTATGTCTCCTTCATTTTACCAATTCTTTCACTTAGATAAAAGCTTTGTCGTCCCTGTGCGGACTCATTAATCATAATGATACATTCAGCATGCCTCTTGATCTGTAAAATCTGGAAATTTATCTGAGGAATATGATGATTATTTCAAAATGGAAGTCAAGAAAACAAAAAAAAAGTACACACACTGAATCCCTGWGGGAGCCAATCAAGAGATCATGCACCTGAATAAATATAACAACCTTTTTAAAAGCAGATGTGGTGATTGTGCTCGCACTGAAAAATGAATAAACRATTATATTTTGGAGGTTGGGTTTGTTCAGTTGGTATGATAGAACCGTGCTCTCTCTTTATATGTTTACTGAATGGATAGTTGCTGCTTTTGGTGTTGATTAGTTTGTTAAGCTTTGATGGTATGACCTTCACTGTAACCATTCCAGTGCTGCCCTCTGTCTTTGGAACAAGTAATCCTGGTGATCTGATGTCTTTCAGACTCACTTTGTAGATAGGTTCTGTTGTTACAAGCTTTAAAAAAAAAGATTTTTAATCTAGTTTATTTACATTTTAAGCCAATAGTTTGGGCCAGGGTTTAACCTGAAGCAAACAGCCTTACATGCTCTGAAAACCATTGTTGTTCTGGATAGTTCAGGAGTTTTTAAAGACTAATTAATCATGTTGTTTGAAAGATGAAAGCCTTAAAAGCTTAAAGGGAAAGTGGATAGCTCAGTTTGTTCAGTCCTTTTGAAGTTAAGGTGGAGGTACTGCCTGTATCAGTGCAACAATTTATTTAATTGCTGACATAAGACATTAGAAAAGAGAAAAATGAAATCAGTCACTAGAATATGGGTTTTGCTATCAAATGTTCTGGGAGTAGATGTTATCTCAGCTATTCATCTCAACTCCTCTTGTAWTATTGTAATATTCTCAAAGTCCCTATGAAAGGAAGCTAGTTCTCGTGCATAACAACAGGACGCATCGAATCTGCGAGCAAATCTAAAAGGCCTGGTGCGTCAAAATGCCRTTTCAGTTCATTCAAATCAAAACAGACACTCTTGTTACGCTCCACAGACCAGGCAGGCAGCCAATTCAGAGGGAGCAAGTGAAAACAGGACTCAGGCAGGGTCAGAAAACAGGCGGCGTCCATAAACACTGAGAAATTAATCCAATAATGATTCTGGGTTGGCAACATTACAAAGTTTTGGCAATATTCCCCAATTCAATCATGTTAAAAAAGATAAGGTCTGATCCCAGCAGACCGTTATGGCCACCGACACGTCCCATAACTTTTCACTGACTCGTGCGTCAGCAGCTGTAAAAGGTGTGACACAGGTGAGGAGACTGATTACGGGAGCCGGTAGGAGGTGAGTGTTTTGAAGTGGGATTGTGTAACACACACCTGGAAGGAGATGCAAGGGAGATGGGTGAATACGATAAACAGGAAACAGGCAAGACTGAGTGGTTTGTCTCGTTCGTCACTATACGTCCCTGCAATAGACTTGTGACATGTCCTGGGGTGTTCCCTGACTCTCATGCAGTATCTTCTGGAGGAAGGCACCAGCTCCCCTGCGATCCAAAAAGGAAAAGTGGGAAAAACTAAAAATGGATGGGAAAACAGACCAAGGCACAGTAAAAACAAGAAACATGCAAATCACAAGATATGCAAAAATACTCATTTCAACAGATACCTTTTAATTAAAGTATGTTCTCATCCTTAAGATTGGTAATCTATGTGTGGATAAAGAAATCCTGAAGCAAAATTAGATTCTGATCTAGTTCAACAGAGGAAAAAAACTTCGTAAATGCACAGGTGGGGTCAGATTTTGCCATAAAATCAGTACAAACAAACCATTATCAAAGGCAAAGGCAAAAAACATTTTTCCAGTGAGTGTTTGTGTGTGTGTGTGGGTGGGGGGAATACATTTGGGGGCAATGTTAAGACAAAACGCCTACATTTGGGGACAATTGGTGCATTTGGGGACAAAAGTCGAGTCCCCGTTGGGTTCAAATGCCATTGGTGGGTTGGGGTTGGGTTAGGACCAAGGTGTGAATTGAGTTCAGGTTATTTTTAGGGTCRGGTATGTACCTGTGAGGTTAGCCTTAGGGTTTGTGGTCAGGGTTAGGCTGTAGGAATGTAATGGAAGTCAATGGAATGTCCCTAAATGTATAGCTAGGCGAACCTGTGTGTGTGTGAGGGGGGGGTTGTTTCTGGTGACATTTGGGGGCAATTTTAAAACAAAATGCCTACATTTGGGGACAAAAGTCGAGTCCCCATTTTACTTAAATGCCATTGGTGGGTTGGGGGTTTGGTTTAGGACCAAGGTGTGAATTGAGTTYAGGTTATTTTTAGGGTCAGKTATGTACCTGTGAGGTTAGCCTTAGGGTTTGTGGTCAGGGTTAGGCTGCAGGAATGTAATGGAAGTCAATGAATGTCCCAAAATGTATAGTTAGGCAAACCTGTGTGTGTGTGTGTGTGTGTGTGTATGTGTGTGTGTGTGTGTGTGTGTGTG